GTTCAAATTTTTAATATAGCATTTTTAATATATACTCTGTACACATTTCTTGTTATTCCAGCCTAGTGGAATTATGATAAAATATTTGAATTCTTTAATATACATACAGGTAGTCCTCAACATACAACAGTTCGTTTAGTGATCATTCAAGGTTACAACCATTTTTCACAGTTATGACCTGTACAACATCTCTAGGTCATGTGATCTAAATTCAGATGCTTGGCAGCTGTTCATATTTATGACATTGCAGTATCCTGGAGTCACATGATTTCATTTTGCAACCTTGTCAAGCAAAATCAATGAGGAAGCCAGATTCATTTAACAACCGAGTTACTAACTTATCAATGGCAGTGATTCACTTAACAATTGTGTCAAGAATGGTTGGCAAAATGGGGCAAAACTCACTTAATAAATGTTTCACTTAACAACAGAAATTTTGGGCTCAATTGAGGTTGTAAGTCAAGGACTACCTATAGTTGGAAAAGTTAAGCCTATCATTATTAAACAAAGTGTGCACAATTCACACGCACACACAAAACACAGAAATGTTTCTGGTGACACAGTCATTAGTCAGCGGCAGAACTGGAAAGTGAATATTTTTCCTTAAAAATCTTACAAAATTTGATTAAAGAGTGAAGCAGTTTGAAAATGTTTGCCAAAGATAGAGTTGGACATTTCCCCCCATCACTTGACATAATCCTGAAGACTGAAGCAGCTTTAAAATTACTTCTAGCTGAGATTGAAGTACATTCTATTCTTCTCACCAGAAATATCTAAAGAAAAAATTAAGAACATTCTTGCCGTAACATCCATTCCTTATTCAGTCGCTATACCTAAGGCATACAAGGGTCAATTCATTGCAGGCACCGTGTAGGTTCACATGTTAGATTAAGCTCAACTGTTCAACTGTATTTTGTTGAAACAAAAATACAATTGCCTGGTTTCACATATGGTCTTAAGCTTGTCAAACACTATAATAGCTGGATGAGCATAAAATGCTATGCCCAAAGCAAGCAAATAAAATTACAGCTTATTATGATGTCGCATTTTCTTATTGTATATTATTTGCCTTGTATTAATTTGCCAGTTGTTTCCTATTATTTGGTTGAAGACAGCACATGACCAACCCATGTTTTGAAGTATACTGCTTATATAATGTTATCATGCAAGATATTTCCTATTTCCTGGCCAGGCTATGCTGAAGGAGCTGCTGCAATTTTGTGTATCAAAAATGAGTCAAGACTCAATTGCTTTATACATACAGTTTCACCCTACCTAAACTAGCATGCATTTGTTCTACAGAAAGCAACAAAGCCAAGACCTGGGCTACACACAATGCACATCATGATTTTCATATATATATTTTTTTAAAAATACATTTTTGTTTAATTATTTAGTATATTTACCCATTAAACAAACATTTGCTCAGGATTTTGCAAAGAGAGAACTTCTGACACCAATTGTCCAAAACAATATGCATTACTGTGGGTCACTATGACCTTGACTCAGTGCTTCTAGTATTCAAAAATACTTCAAGCCCAGCCCCATTTCAAGGGTCTTCAAGCGATCAAATTCAGATATGCCATCTCAACAGATTGTCTCTGAGTTTAAGTATCTTAAAAGTAATTGTTTGTCACTTCTGATGCCAAAAAAAAAGCAATCTTATTCAGTTCAATTTATTATTATTGGAGTAAAGACATATACCATTAAGATTTGGAATAAGTGAAAGCTTCATACTTAGCTAAAATCAACATCTGTATATATATAGTTCTACACAGTGGTATGAGTTTTAATTGACATTCATTAGTAACTGATAGCCCCCTTTCCCCAATTAGTATTTTAAACGTTTTATTGTGCTTTCTGGATTATGGCAAACACCTCTCTGTACTTCTAGAGCAAAGAAAGTCACAAATGATAAACAATGTAACTTTGACCTATTCCCAGAGATGTTGTAACATGGAAGGAATAAATATGAAGCTTTCAGAACATGTTATATACTATTTTTAACTTTCCTTCAATGTAAGAACTTACTAAGTGCCAGGAGTATAGTAAACATACAACTACATTATATAAGCATATAATAACTATTTTTCATTGTGTACAAAAAATGAAATAAAATTCATTTTTATAATTCAGATGTTTGTGTGTATCTGTTTAAAATTAAAATCAAAACACAAAAAGATTTTTCAAGATCAATCTTGGTCAACTGCTTGGAATAATGTCACTAATGTCTCAAAATTGCCCAGTTTCCTCAGCCTCTGAGGGAATTGGGAAAACAAATATTAACTGGGAAATTTTATAGAATAAAACGAGGAAGTGTGCCTTTCAGTACCAGCAAGTCAACATTCCACCTATCCTGAAAGACCTGAATTTTCTATCAAGTTAAGTAAAAAACAAACTTTTTCAAAAGAGGAGCATCAAGACAAGCAACAAAACAAAACAAAAACATTAGCACCAAAACTAAGTATAGGATTTCATTTTTACTGGAACAAGAGAGCAAAGCCTCATATAAATGTAAAATATTAAATAACCTTTTGTTCAATTTCATATCCCAATGACTCAGTTTAAAGATACCACAAAAATGTAGTCATAAAGAGAACAGCTTTTTTGTCAATCATATAGATAAAACTGATGAAGTGCCTCAGGTTCTTTGATGTAAATAGGGAAGCGGAATTCAACTTCTTTATAGACTGTTAGATCATTTAACCACATCACTCTTACATAGCTTGCTCCTACATCATAGGGCTATTAACATATTAAAAAAAAATCTTTTCTCTTATCCTCTTTTCTCTCTGCATTTTGTCTGAAGATTCTTTTATTTCTGATCATTGTAATAGTAGTATTTTCAGATGAATAGAAAATATAAGAGCTTCAAATACATTGATACATATAGAAAATAGAAATAAATGATCACTTTGGTCTTTAAACATTCTTTTTGAATATAACAATACCTTCAACAGACCCTGATGGACAACAGCTATTCCACAGCATAAAGAGTATCTTGCTTAAATATATATCCAAGCTATTAGCTTGATTAAAACAGATTAGAAGTTTTAAACCAGAAAGTCAGTTACTGACTTGATTCACCTATCCTGCTAAGTCACACTTTATTAACTAAACTACAATTACCTGGGTTCACAATATTATGGTAATTCATAACATGATTTATGTAAAATCTATGTAATACATTTGCAAAAGATAGCTCATGGCTTAGCAGAATGTATGAACCTAACTCAAAACAAACCTTGGCTTAGACTAAGGTTTGAACTCAGCTAATCTCCCTTGTAAAATTATGGTGGTATTGTCAAATATGAGATAAAGAAAAAAATGCAAGCAAAAATGTCACCAACATGTTGATAGGAACACTTTTCAATAAGTAAACTAGCATTATAGAGGGCACAAACTTCATGCTAATTTTATTAATCTCTTTCATTCTTACAACCCCCCTTTTTCTTAACTAGCCCAAACAGTTTTGGAAAAAAACTGCAAAGCCTTTCCACCTACTGTAACTTTCAAGTTTTTTACCTCCTCCTTATAGAGGAATAAGTCCATTTATATCTTTTTTTTCTTTTACTATTCCTGCACTGATTTTAACTCTAAAAGAAATGCAAAATTAAACTCTGGTGAAGACAGTTGGGGGGGGGGGATGAAAACACAAAGTTAGAGAGAGAGAAATGCAGAAAAATGTGTGTTTGTGTGTCCCATAGGAGGAGCTGCAGTTATATGATTTGCAACAGAATTCAAGCATTGGAACAGCAATGGGTTGTTGATTTTGAGAAAAAAAGAAAGAAAATTATTCACAAGAAAATGCCAAATGCCATTCCTTACAGCACTGAGTAAAGTAAAAAGTCTCCTGCAAGTTGAACTTGATTCTCAATGACTATGGCTAGGTCCATGTAGTTTTCTCCACAACAACATGGAAGAATTTGATGTTATCTTCTTTGAGGTTATTTCCACCTCCAACCCTCCCCCCACCCCCATTTATTCTATTCCTGTGGTTCTCGTCATGGACCTTCTTTAAATACCTTTTGTGGCCAAGGACTATGGCCAAGGACCCCCAAAGCTTGACTCAAGATTTAAATCTTAACGTTTCTTCGCAGTCCTCCCTATGATGACATCATGCCCCCCTCCCAGGGTTTTGCTGACCACAGGTTGAGAACCACTGTTCTATTCCATATCTCCCATCCATGCTCTAACCTGGTCTGTTCCAACCTAGAGTAAGTTCAGATTCGAAAAAGGCTGCATTATCTTCTCACTGCACTGCCTTCTTCAATGGCTTCTATGACGGATAAACAATCAGTCACCACTCTCTCCCCACAAAAGAAGCAGGAAGCTTCAAGAAAAGCATGACATTTTGTGTCCCTTCCCCTCATAAGTTTTACATGGTTGGACCAAAGAGAAATGAGAGGAGAAAAGAAGAACAGGAAATTCAGGGATGCAGGATATCGAACAGGAAGTTCATGTGTGTGTGGGGGGGGGGGAAGTACTGATAGAAAAGGTATTAGTAAACCATGTGGAGTATAACAAGAAAAGATATTTGGCATTCAACTCAGGAAGAACATGCTGTAAAAGGGAAGGACGCTCCACATTTAAGAATCTCTAGGTTCAGGTATGAAATAGGAAAAACAAGACCAGTGGGAATCTAAGGGCTAGTTGAAGAAGATCGAGCCAGGTCTTCCCTGACTTCCAGACTGGCAGCTTCGTCCCCTAAACATACGTGTGCCTGCGGGTCGGGTGGAGAGTAGGTTTTGGCGGATTTGGGAAGGCAGCATTCTTGCCCATGTGCCGAGCGCTATAGAATCCCCCGCACGGATTTTACCGACGCCCGCAGGAGCGGCCAACTCGGGATCGCCCTCGGAGGCAAACAAGGGAAGGAGACCGCACGTCCCAGGGCCTTTTGGGAGGGGGAGGCATCACGCTTTCCCCCCCTCCCCCTCAGCCGCTCCGGGGAAAGGGAGAGAAGGGCAGGTCAAGGACAACTGCGCCAAAGCTGTACCCACTTGCGAGCTGAGATAGCGCTTGAGGCACGCTTCGCAGACGGGCTTCTTGCAACACGGCAGCGGCTTCAGGGGTTTCTCCTCCAGACAGACGCGGCAAGGCAGCACTAGGAGGGTCCCGGAGATCAGGCCGGAGAAAGATTCGGGCAGAAGGTACAGGTCCACCTCGACGTTGCCGGAAGGGGTTCCTTTTCCTCCAGCTCCCACTACGCTTGGCTGGGAGGAGGGCGGCGGCGAGACGGCGGGTGTGGGGTCTTCTTGTCGGCCCTCTTCTCCTGAAGTTGGAGGAGGAGAAGGAGACTCCTCGGTCACCGCAGGGTAGACGGGCCTCAGAGCAAACGGGTAGCTGTTGCTACTTGGTGCTTCCGAGCAAGGACCCTCTTCCAAGGGAGCCCCGCCGCCGTCGCCGGCCTCCTGGCCTTGAGCTTCAGCCGGCGGCGGTCCAACCTCGTCCTCTTGCTGTGGCCTTGGTGTCCTTCCACTGACTGTGGGGAGCGGAGGTTGAGTCTCCGTGGCCGGGAGACGCGGCTCGGGGGCGGCTCCGTCTGGCTCCGGCGGAGAGCTCGCCGTGCTAAGACGCTCCCCCATGCCCGCCGCCCCTGCAGCCACCCGCGCTGCTGCTTCCCATCCAGTTCCCAAGCCGGAACTGGCCTTCGCACCCAAACCGCGGGGTGGGGAAGAGAACTCCTTCCAGAGGCGACCGGCGGGACCTTCCCGGCAAAAGGAAGCCAAGGAGAAGCAGCAGCCACTTCGCAGCTCTCCGCGCCGAGGGCCCGACGCCCCAACGCGGCACCGCCTCCCCCTGCTCGACTCGCCGAGTTCAAAGAGGAGTAGCTCCGCCCACGCGCCGCGCGCGCACGACACACCGCCTCGTATTACCTACCTTCCTCTTTCGCGGGATTGTATCCAGCTCGCTGACGCGCCTAACCATTCCACACACATACACACATAAACACACACACCCCCGCCACCCTCTCTTCGACGTTTCCAAATTCAGTCACCGTAAAGCCACCTTTCTCTTACTTAGATGGTGTACGAATGGAACATGGGTACAGCCCTAAATTTCCCCTTTTCCCCCTCCCCTCCCGAAAGGGATTGTTTTCGAAAGAGCTTTAGAGCCTCCCTGAACTCGCCTCCTCATTTTATCAGCTTACTTTTCAGAGAGTTGAAGTTATGCAGGTCTAATCAAAGTGCGAGGGGAAGCGAGGGGCGGCGAATCAAGGTTGTTAATAAAACTGAATGAGCAGGATATATTATATGTTATTGGTATACTGTGTATTAAGATGCTCCTCGGGGATTTCCATCACGGGTTTACCTTACTTTATCTTACTGCCTGATTTTGCTTAACCAGGGTGTGGTAAGGAAAGCTTATTCAATAAGGTCGTTTTAACCCCACGATCGGTTCAGTACATGAAAGAAATCAGACAACAGGGCTGCCGCCGAGACTAAGGAAGATCCGGAAAAAACAAAAGGCAGTTGAGAAATGCTACTTTCTAGAGCAAAACAAACAAACAAACAAACAAACAAACCCTAACTTGATTCAAATGAGAAAAGTTATATTGGCTGGAAATAATGATTACATTAGAACTAAAATATAATAAAAAAGGTATAATAGAAACATATGTATGTATGTATGTATGTATGTATGTATGTATGTATGTATATATATATATATATGTGTGTGTGTGTGTGTGTGTGTGTGTGTTTTCTTAAGTTT